TGCTTTTCTTTGTGCGCAAATATGTCCCTGCCAATGCCGTCCGGGATCTTTGCACCTTTTTCGTCTAAAATCTTTCCTGTAACCAAATGACTCCTTATGTATGTGAATTGCACAGTACTTTCAGTTTACATGTAGTATTTTTTCTTGTTTTATTGTGATTTTAAAACTGCTGGAACAATTTCCATCCATGAACGATCAAATTTCCCGTCTAGAGTAGACATGATTTGTCCCGAGGCTGAACTTCCGACTTCTTGTTTTTCAGTGGTATGATTGAATTGAGGTCCTAATGCGATTTTTGAACAATTTTATTTCATAGTTTAGAATACCCCAGTCGAATTTTTTCATAATTAAATTGCTGTGACATATTTTTGCATTTGTTTAATTAAAATTAATTTAATTTCTTCGACTTCCTTTCAATCTTGTTTAAAGTTCCAACGTTGGTCTACTGTGAAATCTGTTTGTCTCCTCATTGGTCGTTTCAGCACGCTGCTAAATATCGTATCACTATACTGCATATGTGCGAATTTTCGGCCGTTGAAAAGCTAATGAGAGGAAGAAACGAGTCCAATGTTGCATGTGGAGTCTTGCCAGGATGTGACTGCCAGAGCTCAGGTTCCTAGCTTCCTGTTCTCTTTTAAGTAAAAGAAATCAGCGCTGCTGGCGCTCTTCCCAAAACCGGAGGGAGTCGAGTACAGCAGGGGTGTGAAGGAAACCTTATGGGCAGGGGAAGGAGGTCTGTGTCCTCTGAGAACGCTTTGTGAAGGCCACAAACGTTTGCCGACTGTGTTCCGATGAGGCGGGCGGCTTACGCGTCGCTAAGTCTGAATATCGATTCAATACTTTACTAACACTTGGAGTAATATGCTCCCTTAATTTGTTAGTAATCGAGGACTTGCTAGTAAGAAATCAGCGTTATTGAGACTTTGATAGCATGGCATGCGTAGAGATGGTGCATTCGAAGGCGCGGGTATTGCTCTATCCTGGTGAGACCACACCACATGGCCGGCCCCTCCCTATCTCAGGAACGTTACTGTCCTTAGTCTCGCGCTTGCAGCCTCCGGTGCTGCTTCTGCTGCTCGTGCTGTGATCTCGCGTAGTGCATATGAGACGCTAATATTTGTCATTTCATCCGACCGACCTTGAATATACATAGATTAATGTGTCTTCATGATCTGCAATGACTACGTTCTAGGACATTATGTGTAGTAGACCAGTGTTTTGATGCTATTTGCAATGCTAAATTGACTTGAAATCTATTCATGAACTCATTTCATTACTCGTGATTCAATTATGATTACTGGTCATACTTATGTTTCTGTGATCTAAAAGAAAAGAGAGCTTTTAAAAGAATCGACTGAATTTAGGGAATAATTTCAGAGTGTCTGCATAACCACCTTAAATATCTGACTCCTTATTTCATTTTGTGTTAATTAATGGCAATTAGAATCGTATGTGTTCGCTCTTTAGTTGATGGTCATAATAAATTTGAAATTCAGACCATATTTAACATGTCGCGAAACCTAATTTTGGCCACAAAAGACATATATCTAGTCCGCAAAATCACTAGGATATATGTTCAAATATCTTGTGTTGGAAGATTTGTTTCACTTTTGATAACTTGTTCAGAAGGGCTAGTATTTAATACATGCAATAGAAGTGCTTACGCATTAGAAATTGAACAACGTTAGGCCATGTAAAGGTACTATCTGAACTGCTATCTGAATATCCGCTGAAATTAGATCACTTCTAATGTATCGCTAGGAAATCATGAATGAAAAAATTAACCAGTTGTCTTAGTTCGTTTAACTTTATAGTGCCAGAAATATTAAGTAGTTCCGTAGAAAAGTGTAACTAGTGTCTCAGCTGGCGCGGCAAATTCGAATTTACATTCTGCATTCCTGCTGTTTGTTTTGATTCTTCTTTGAGCTTTTGTTTCCCTTGGTATTGTGCAAAGTGTCTGTGTTTGCGCTAATGGAACAAAACTCAATGATGATGGTAACATGCCAAGTTAATCCATTGTTGCTTTTGGTGAAGCTCTTTTGTTTCTGAACACTTAGTGCGTCCCTCTCTCTCTCTCTCGCTCTGTAAATAGCTGCCCTCTTGTCCGGACGCTTTTCTGTAATGTGCTTTGTTTTCGTACGTGAAGATGGGCATTTTAAAGGTATTTCTATTGAGAATTCATGCCTTTCAATCACTATTTTATTGCACTCATCTTATTCTTTCGTATTTATCTTTCTTTATGTGTGATGCGATGCACTGCCGTCGCAATGTTTCTTTTGTCCCAATTCGTAACCCGCGTATTGTTTCATGCCTCTAAACGAAAATACTGAGGAAATATAAGAACCGCAGTGGGCCTGCACGAACTGAAATGTCGCGGCTAATATCTTTTGCTGACTTGAAGCCCTATTGAAGCAATTAATTTTCGTAGTTTTCTGGAATTTCGTTGGTGGAAAATACTCGTTTTCAATATTCAACTGAACCTCTATATGACAGTTGTGAATTTGAAGTTAGCATTAAACTATATTCTCTTAGAGCTCTTCATACCCCCCAGTTACTGGCGATGATTTTCATGTGTGCGCGTCTCATGCTGAGCTCCACACAAAGCATCCTCTCATGCCAGGGGAGCTACGTGTGAACGTTGGCCATAGACTCCTCCTCTCATCACCAGCCAATTTTTACCTCGAATTTCTCAATAGAAAGTCTGAGTGCGAGCGGGCGTCTCATTGAATTGTCACGCTTGATCTATTGGTTTGTCAGATGCGCCGGCTACACAATTATTGTATTTCTATCGTTCGATCGAGGTTTTGAAAGCGTCTCTCTGCTTGAATGTGCGTCTGTCATGATCGAACAGATAATGCAAGGCATATACGAGCGATCTGGTGACCAAGACTGGGTGGAATCTTCGTCTCATGTAGTCCATTGATTGATCGCCCTTGCCATGTCCGTTCATTGGCTCTTCCATGCATTCCCTTCTTTGTCAGTTGTGTCTTCAAACCGACCTCTTGCTTGTCCTGTCTTGAAGTCCCTCTGTAAGGACCATATTAAGTGAATGGGTGCTTAAGGGGAGTATGTAGACCCGCCCGAACTCCGAAGCGAGGGTGATCGCGGACGCTGCCGTGACTACTAGTATCTTACGTCTGGCTGTGTGGTGTCAAAGGAGTGTCATGCGAGCGCAGGCCTGCGTCTGGCTGCTCTACACTCATAGACTTGGGCAGACGCGTCACGAGGTAAAGGGTGCTTGGGCCGCTGAGCTGATCCCTCACACCCCTCCTCTCTCCCCCCCCCTCCGATGTGCGGGTACCCCAATTGGGAATGTGAGCCGCTACTTCAGGCTAAATAGACTGTTTTCGAACTGTTATATTTTCATTCCCAGGATATAAATATATAAATGCATCATATTCGATGCCGAAATTATGTCGATGATATTTAATTTACATAGTATAAATTTTTTCACGAAAGTCTAATTGTCGCTAGATCGAATATAAGTACCTACTTCTATTATCAATCTGCTTATATCGCAAGTTCACAAGAAATTTAAATAACAAAAAACGCCAAGAAAATTCAGCATATCGATATTGAAAACGTTGCGGAGATATATCAAAGTACAAAGATTGTAATTCAGACCAATAATTTCCTCATAATGACAGCGGTATTGGCATGAAGTGCCTCAATGTTTGTAGCCTGCTAGGCAGCCCACAAAGAGGATATGGGTGGGGAGGACACCCTCCTCACCCACCTCATGTCTGACAACCCTCCTCTCTCGTCTAAGATGTGCTGGTGTCTCACTGTAATATGAGCTTAGACTTCAAGCCAAATAGGCTGGCTGTTTTCGCGCAGTTACATGCTCATCTTCATCATATAAATACATCACATTCAATACCTAAATAATTTCGATGATATTTAATTCATAGAGTACAAATTTCTGAACGAAAAACATATTGTCACTAGACTATTAATTATTTTCTCTTTATATAGGTACGTCGAGGGAAGGTTACAGAAATGCGACGAAATGTTAACTTTTACTGTTAATCAAGATTTATCAATCTACAGAGACAGTAATTCAGACTGTACAGAGACT